AACCAGTCCAGCAAAGAAAAAGGCCCCCAGCAGATGATACAGGAAGAAGGGCTGCAAAGTGCAAGGGTCCTGAGGCAGGGAAGCCACTGTTATCTCATTAACTGAGGATTTGCTATGTGGCTGGACACTGGGTTAATAGTGTGCCGAACATATATGTCATTTTTTAATCTTCACAAACAAACAGTATTTGTATAGGAGTGTTTTTTTTGTTTCTTTTTTGAAAACATGCTATAGCCTCTCTTCTGCTGCCAGCTCCCGCGCCCTGCTTCCCCCTTGGAGGCAGTGGCATGATCTGGCTCACGCTAACCTCGCATTTTTTTTTTTTTTTTTTTTTTTTTTTGTTTATTATTTTTTTTTTTTTTTTTTTTTTTTTTTGTTTTTTTGTTTTGTTTTTTTTTTTTTGTTTTTTTTTTTTTTTTTTGTCTTATTTTTTTATGTTTTTTTTTTTTTTTTTTTTTATTTTTTGTTTTGTTTCTTTCTCTTCTCTCTCTCTCTAGGTTCAAGTGATGCTCTTCCTGCCTCAGCCTCTCAAGTACCTGCGATTTACAGGCACGCACCACGCACATGCCGCAGCTAATCTTTTCTATGTTTGAGTAGCAACAAAAGTTTGCCATTGTGCCAGGCTGTTCTCAAATTCCTGACCTCATGGTGATACGCACCTCGGCCTCCCTAAGTGCCCATGCCCGGCTAATTTTTTTTTTTTTTTTTTTTGAGACGGAGTCGTTGCCTCTGTCACCAGGCTGGAGTGCAGTGGCACCATCTCGACTCAGTGCAAGCTCTGCCTCTTGGGTTGACGCCATTCTCCTGCCTCAGCCTCCGGAGTAGCTGGGACTACAGGCACTGGCCACCACGCCTGGCTAATTTTTTTGTATTTTTAGTTGAGATCAGGTTTCACCATATTAGCCAGGATGGTCTTGATCTCCTGAGCTCATGATCCGTCTGCCTCTGCCTCCCAAAGTTCTGGGATTACAGGCGCGTGCCACCGCGCCTGGCCTAATTTTGTATTTTTAGTAGAGATAGGGTTTCACCACATTGGCCAAGCTGGTCTGCAACTGCCGACCTCCTGTGATCCGCCTGCCTCAGCCTTCCAAAGTGCTGGGATTACAGGCATGAGCCACCTCGCCCAGCCTGTATAGAAATATTATTATCCCCAGTTGACAGAGAAATAAACTGAGGTTTCAAATGATGAAGTTTAGCCAAATAGTGGAGGTGCAAGATTCAAACTCAGGTCGGCTAGAACCCAAAGTCTATTAATGGGTGGATGTGGAGGTAGAGGGAGGACTGGTCAAATGTTTGCTGAACGAATGAATGGGGTGTGTGTGAGTGAAGAGACATGGATTCAGAGCCCGGGGTTCAGAGGAGGAGGGAGAGGGAGAAGGAGGGAGCCCTGAAGGCTGAATCCGCTCAGGCAACAAATATTTATCAGGTGCCTACTGTGTACCCAGCACTGTTCTAGGGCACTTGCAATTAGTGGTGAACAACACGGTCTCCACTCCAAGGGGCTCATATTCTTGTGCAGAAAACAGAAATGAACAAGTAAACCCACAAGATCATTTCCCATGGTGGTGAGAGCTGGGATGAATATAAAACAGCGTGGCAGGGAGGAGGCAAATGTGAGTCTGGAGGGTTCCTGGAGAATGGGGCCTGAGGCGTGACCACCCCCTTCCTCTCTGGGGGGACTGCCTGCCGCCTCCGCAGACACCCATGGTTCAGTGCCCTCCAGGCCCCTGCCTACCCCAGCATCCCCTGCGCGAAGCTGGGTGCCCCGGGGAGTCTGACCACCATGCCACCTCCTTGCCTCCTCTTCTTCCTCCTCTTCCTCACCCCCATGGAAGTCAGGCCCCAGGAACCTCTAGTGGTGAAGGTGGAAGGTATGTCCAAAGGGCAGAAAGGGAAGGGATGGAGGCTGGAAACTTGGGTTGTGGCTGGGTGTCCTTGGCTGAGTAACTTACCCTCTCTGAGCCTCCATTTTCTTATTTGTGAAATTCAGGGAGGGGTTGGAAGGACTCTGCCGGCTCCTCCACTCCCAGTTTTTGGAGTCCTCTGATCTATAACGCGGTGTGAGGAGTGGGGGGGCTTGGAGGTCCCCCCGTCATGCCCACACCTCTCTCCCTCTCTCTCCACAGAGGGAGATAACGCTGTGCTGCAGTGCCTCGAGGGGACCTCAGATGGCCCCACTCAGCAGCTGGTCTGGTGTCGGGACTCCCCGTTTGAACCCTTCTTAAATCTCAGCCTGGGGCTGCCAGGCATGGGAATCCGCATGGGGCCCCTGGGCATCTGGCTTTTAATCTTCAACGTCTCTAATCAGATGGGGGGCTTCTACCTATGCCAGCCGGGGCTCCCCTCTGAGAAGGCCTGGCAGCCTGGCTGGACAGTCAGTGTGGAGGGCAGCGGTGAGGGCCGGGCTGGCCGGGCTAGGGCAGGGGCAGGAGGAGAGAAGGGAGGCCACCATGGACAGAAGAGGTCCGCGGCCACAGTGGAGCTGGAGAGAGGGGCTGGAGGGATTGAGGGCGAAACTCGGAGCTAGGTGGGCAGACTCCTGGGGCTTCGTGGCTTCAGCATGAGCTGCTTCCTGTCCCTCCACCTCTCACTGCCTTCTCTCTCTGTCTCTCTCTCTCTCTGAGTCTTTGTCTCTATTTATCTCTGCCTTTGAGTCTCTCTCTCTCTCCCTCTCCTGGGTGTCTCTGCATTTGGTTCTGGGTCTCTTCCCAGGGGAGCTGTTCCGGTGGAATGTTTCGGACCTAGGTGGCCTGGGCTGTGGCCTGAAGAACAGGTCCTCAGAGGGCCCCAGCTCCCCTTCTGGGAAACTCAACAGCTCCCAACTGTATGTGTGGGCCAAAGACAGACCTGAGATCTGGGAGGGAGAGCCTGTGTGTGGCCCACCGAGAGACAGCCTGAACCAGAGCCTGAGCCAGGGTAAGGTGATGACTGGGGAGATGCCAGGAAGTGGGGGTCCAGAGACGGAGGGGAGGGGAAACTGAAGAGGTGTGAGACCCTGAGGATCAGGCTTTCCTCGTCTTATCTCTCCCTGCCCCAGACCTCACCACGGCCCCGGGCTCCACACTCTGGCTGTCCTGTGGGGTACCCCCTGACTCTGTGTCCAGGGGCCCCCTCTCCTGGACCCATGTGCGCCCCAAGGGGCCTAAGTCCTCATTGTTGAGCCTAGAGCTGAAGGACGATCGCCCAGACAGAGATATGTGGGTAGTGGACACGGGTCTGTTGTTGACCCGGGCCACAGCTCAAGACGCTGGGAAGTATTATTGTCACCGTGGCAACTGGACCAAGTCATTCTACCTGGAGATCACTGCTCGGCCAGGTAGAGTTTCTCTCAACTGGGAGGCATCTGTGTGGGGTGTGCTGGCAAGAAGTGGAAGCCAGTCAATCTTAGGTTCCCCCAACCTGAGGGCTACTCCCAGCCTCACCCCAAACCCCAACTTCCACACAGAACATTGACTCCAAGTCTTTTTTTTTTTTTTTTTGACGGAGTCTTGCTCTGTCGCCTAGGCTGGAGTGCAGTGGTGCCATCTCGTCTTGGCTCACTGCAACCTCTGCCTCCCAGGTTCAAGCGATTCTCCTGCCTCAGCCTCCTGAATAGTTGGGATTACAGGTGCCCACCACCATACCTGGCTAATTTTTTTTTTTTGAGAGGAGTCTTTCACTGTCACCCAGGCTGGAGTGCAATGGTGCAATCTCAGCTCACTGCAACTTTTACTTTCCAAGTTCAAGTGATTCTCCTGCCTCAGCCTCCCGAGTAGCTGGGATTACAGGCGCTCGCCACCACGCCTGGCTAATTTTTTGTATTTTTTTTTTGAGATGGAGTCTTGCTCTGTCGCCCAGGCTGGAGTGCAGTGGCCGGATCTCAGCTCACTGCAAGCTCCGCCTCCCAGGTTTACACCATTCTCCTGCCTCAGCCTCCCGAGTAGCTGGGACTATAGGCACCCGCCACCTCACCCGGCTAGTTTTTTGTATTTTTTAGTAGAGACGGCGTTTCACCGTGTTAGCCAGGATGGTCTCGATCTCCTGACCTCGTGATCTGCCCGTCTCGGCCTCCCGAAGTGCTGGGATTACAGGCTTGAGCCACTGTGCCTGGCCAATTTTTTGTATTTTTAGTAGAGACGGGGTTTCATTATGTTGGCCAGGTTGGTCTCGAACTCCTGACCTCGTGATCCACCCGTCTCGGCCTCCCAAAGTGCTGGGATTACAGGCATGAGCCACAGGGCAGGGTCAGGCCTAATTTTTGTATTTTTAGTAGAGATGGGGTTTCTCCATGTTGGACCAGGCTGGTCTTGAACTCCTAACTTCAGGTGATCCGCCTGCCTTGGCCTCCCAAAGTACTGGGATTACAGGCGTGAGCCACCACACCTGGCCTAGACTTCAAGTCTTTCTTCCCTTGCTTCCAGTACACTACTTTTCTGGGTCTTCATCTACCATTGCTTGTGCCTGCCCACCAGCTTGGGTGGAGTCTTCCTTCCTCTCCAACTCCTCACTCTTGGAGCCCTGGGCCCTCTTCTTATCCCTGTCTGCACGCTTTCCCATTTGACCTTGATTCCCAATGGCTTTTTGGGTCACTATGCCTTGGTGACTCTATTCCAGGCTCCATATTCAGCCGTCCCCTGTGCCATTTGATGTCCTATGGACACCTCAGGCTCAACAGATACAAAATCAAACTCAATGTCTTCCCCAAGTATAGTCTTCTTGGTGGCCCTGTGCAAGCAGAGGGCACCACCACCTGCTCCCTTGCCCAGGCTAAGAACCTGGGCATCCTTCCTTTTCCTCACCCTGTCCAGCAAACTGGTCACAGTGTTCTGCCAGTTCTCTCTCCTTCATACAATCCTATCATGCTATCCTAACCGCAATTTACAAACTCAACCCCAACTTTCACTCAAAACTTGATCCAAGCAATGTGCTGGATCCCAACTGTAACCTTGCAAACTCAACTCTGCCCTTCACTTTGACTGTGACTGTCCTTAATTGCAGCAGGAAACTGATCATTATGCTCTCCTCAATCCACACATTGCCTCTAAATACAGCCATGGTTTGTCTGTGATTTACTCAAAAGACACTGCCCCATGTCATGTGCCAGGCTCTGTGACAATCCCTGACCTCCTGGGACATGACTCCTTAGAGAGAGGAGAGCCTTTCTCACAGTTTGGGACTTTGAGTCTGTCTTTTTTTTTTTCTCTTGGAGACAGAGTTTCGCTCTTGTTGCCAGGCTGGAGTGCAGTGATCTCCGCTCACTGAAATCTCCACTACCCCGGGTTCAAGCGATTCTCCTGCCTCAGCCTCCCAAGTAGTGGGATTACAGGTGCCCGCACCATACGTAGCTAATTTTTTGTATTTTTTAGTAGAGACAGGGTTTCACCATGTGTGGCCAGGTGGTCTCGAACTCCTGACCTCAGGTGATCCCCCACCTTGGCCTCCCAAAGTGCTGGGATTACAGGCGTGGACCCTGCACCTTGCCAAGTCTGTGTCTGCCTCTGTGCCCCAGACTTGCGGTTCTTTGAGATCTCGGGATTGGAACGTAAGATGCCAGCCTGGGTCCTCATCTCATAGCCCCTTCCCCCTAGCACTATGGCACTGGCTGCTGAGGATTGGTGGCTGGAAGGTCCCAGCTGTGACTTTGACATTTATCTGATCTTCTGCCTTGTTCCCTTGTGGGCATTCTTCAACTTCAAAGAGGTGAGTCATGTCCCCAGTGGGTCTGTCCAACCCTACTTCCATCTTCCCCAGGATAAAGCTGGCTTTGGCCAGTCTGACAACCATCTTTCTTATCCTCCCATCCTCCTGCAAGACCCCAGAATCCTGTTCCCCCAGTCTTCCTCTAGCCTCCCTCAAACTTCCCAAGCCTCTTGCATTTTTTTTTTTTTTTTTTGAGACAGGGTCTCATTCTGTCACCCCAGCTGGAGTGCAGTGGCACAATCTGAGCTCACTGTAACCTCTGCCTCCCAGGCTCAAGTGATTCTTGGGCTCAGCCTCCTGAGTAGCTGGGACTACAAGTGTGTGCCACGCGCCCAGCCGATTTTTTATATATTTTTAGTAGAGCAGGGTTTCGCCACGGTTGCCCACCTGGTCTTGGACTCCTGAGCTTAGGCAATTCCGGCCTCATCTTCCTAAAGTGCTGGGAATATAGGCGTGAGCTACAGGCGCCTGGCTCCCTCAACTTTTTTTTTTTTTTTTTTGAGATGGAGTTTTTGCCTGTTTGCCCATGTTGGAGTGCAATGGCATGATCTCTGCTCACTGC